TACAAAAAATTAGAGGGAACATTGGTAGGTAGTCAATACATCAATCCATGAATGAGAGATTCTATAGCTTGATAATGATTAGGGTGAATGATAATTTATAAAGACACATACTTGGTACTTTTCTTTTGGTATTTCCGACAAAAAAATAGAAAAAATTTGGGAACCCTAAAACGAGGTTTAAAAAAAGTATAAAAAAATATATAGAACCGAATATTAAATTTGAACTTTGCAATCAAAATTTTTGTAGAGTGTTTGTGGAATAGGGGGTGTGGCTGTCGTAGGGCGTTCCATTTCACTGCTTATCGGTTAGTGTTTCCTCCGCCATCAAGTCCATTATTACAAACAAAAGCCGATAATAAATAATTTTTTTTTAACAGTGATTGATTATTGTTTTGTGCGGGTCAGTGTGTAGAACCGATCAAGGTCATCTAGGCTCCCGACCCTTGTGTATTTAAGCTCATCATGGCATAGTATAGTACCATGGATGAGAGCAAATAAGAGAAAATATAAATAGGATAAAGAAATGAATGAGTCAGCAATTTTAGGTAATTGAAGATTTTGAGAGGTCATGTATTGTCTGAAACCGGACACATTAAAGAAAATTTACAACAATCATAAAAAGAACAAATTTTGTTTTATTAATTATTCGAATAATTCATTGGACACAGACCATAACCAGAAGCGGAATTTGAGGAGAAGAAAATACGTTCATCACAGATTCTGTAACATAGAGTATGATGTGAAATTTCATTGGATACGTTCTTAATCATACATGAATATAAGTGAAAAAACACCAGAGATATCTCTAATGGACTTTAATCTTTTGAGGTCCTGATTATTATAAGAATAGGCAGGCAAATGACGTCAAAAGATCTTTCTTATCATAGGAATATTAATTACTGAAACAGCTACGAAATTACAGGCACTGCTAGCAACGAACTGGCGTTTTTAAACCCCTTGCCGGCGGTTAACCGCTTCCACAGAACGACAGATTGGCGCGGTCACGGTGACCTTGTGTCAACAGGTTAATCTACTATCTGTTATGTAATAAATAACCTTGCCGCGCATCGATTGAAATTTGGACTTTGCTCTGTGACACACAATGGCGTGGACTTAGGAACGCAGGGTTTGAATTGAACATCCTTTCGCTTACATCAGCTGCTACTTTTATAAGTTTAGTCGGTATTATCGGGGAATTAACTCAATTTGGAGAAATTCTTTATGAAGATTTTAGTGCCAGTTTATTCTATGTAATCTTATCGATAATATTTATCGCTGATTGCAGCTGTTGCCATTACGACATAACCTCTATCTTGCGTAGGAGTTTTTGTATGCTCCTTACTAATATAGCTTTAAATAGGCCCGTTGTTGAAATTAAATTCAAATTTGTGTAGTTTGGCAACTATTCAACGCGCAAATCGTAACTTCGAAGTAAATATACCTATTTTGAAAAAAAACGTCACTTAACTGTGGTCGCAAAGACGACTTAGTAGTTCAAAAGTGAGTACACATATTAATCTTTTTCGGTTCCATACCTATTCAACAGAGTAGGCAATAAAATAATGGAGAAAAGCAAAGCGGATCGAGACCGCTCTAAAATTTTGCGGGATTATAAAACCTATTACAAAATCTGGAGAGTGCAAAATCAAAAAAGCTCTTGTCGAAAGGTGGTTCGTGGCCGCTAGCTAAACATAGGTTTGGTTCGGGAATAGCGTTTCAATGTAATCACGAAAAGCGACTTGGTGCGGTATTCTTGCTTTGATTAACAACCATAGACTTCAACCACTTGATTCTATAATCAGTTTTGTTTAAATGTTTTGGACGTCTGTTGTGCCGTTATGTAGTTGAAATATACTTACGAATACTGTTGTACACACAAGAATAAAACAAAGTGCACAATTTGAGCCCTGCGTTTTTTTGCGACGCGCACAGTCGAATTTACCTCATGAATAGAGGCGTTTCGTGGGATGTTTCGAGGGCGTAAGTGTAAAAAAATGTATATTGTTCCGATAATATGAAGAAGGCTTGCATTTTTATTACTGCGCTGCTTCTTTGTGTTTAATATAAGGGCACTGGAATTAATTAATGTGTACTCGATGATGGTGTTTTATTTTTTGTTAGACTACCGGTGGCGTAACTGTCCTGCTATTGAGAAAAGTCGTTTTTTATTACAACAGTACAAGGCTAACTTCAACCTTGTCGGTTATGAAATTAGTTGAACAGGTATTCATGGCATTTGCTATAGCGGTACCGTAGGTTAGTCCTAGCCTAGGAAGTTTGGGGTACAAGTACGGTACCGTAGTACTTGCCAGCGAGACCTGAACACTGCCGCTTGACAGCTTGATGTAATCTGTATATTGTTCATGTACTGTCAGACTGTAGTTTGGCAGTATTACTTGAATTAGTTAGGGTTGATTTTACTGTAATGTTAATGTACGATAGTCATATTGGGACTGGTGTTCGGTAATTTTTACTTGATGTGTTTTTCCACTTGCTTGACTCTGGGTGAACGTGTTACAACATTCGTCAGTTCGATGTACTGTTATAAAGTTTCTCGATGTTAGGTTTTACATTTTTCCTTGATCTTTTCTTTGCTTTTGATTGTGTTGTTTATTCTATGTGCTGTGTTATAGATGAGAGATAAAAAAAAACTCCTTTTGTATTAAATATTATTAAATAGTAAGTTCATGAATCTGTAACAAATAACTGGTTACCAGTTCCCATACCCAACATGGACTGGTAACTAGACGAGATACTATGGTATGCCACATGATTAAGCTGTTTTAATAACTCTCGTCTCCTCTGGAATAAATATGCAAATCCCTTACTTATTTTCATATAGTTTATCGCAAGGGATATTTTGGAATATTAAATTATTTTTATTTGAACATTACTGGTTGTGACGTCCTTATGACACATTTCCTTTATGGTTTCGCATGCAGGCCTGACTAATTATTTTACGTGATGGATTTATTTAGCTGTGAGTGATATTTTGAATGTAATTTTAGAAACTGTTAAAAAACTCAATATTATTTCTGTTCTTAACCCATTAGTTTTTTATATGCTACACTTGATAATAAAAAGCCAACAAACCAAGGCAGAAATCTAAATGCGCTACAGTCGAATAACTAAACATATTGCTGTCAGTTTACTTTTTAAAATTGATGTAGTAGTGTTTTATTGCTTAGATGTTTACACTCATTGATGTCTTTACCTTATTTTATGTTCCATATTAATATACACGTATGTTCTATCAATTAACACTTGAATACATCACATGTGTCTTTTATTAACACTTAATATTTTCTTCACCTCGTAGGAGGTGGGAACAGGGAATATATTCCATGTAGACAAGAAATTTTTATTCATTGTTTGGTTGGCAAGAGGGTTGTTGCATTTGAAAAGTAGCGTTCTTTGTAGTTTTTTTACCTTTGTTTGTTGGTTTTTTAATATTAAATATGGCACACAAATGATTAGTAAAAGTATGTTTGAAGCAGAACTATGTATTTTTATATAAGAGTGTGACCACGATTGTTTAGAGCTCTCAAATTTAAGTAAATTCGCTGCAATTTGCGTGATTCTCTGACTATAATGCCAAGAAATCTTCATTTATTGTATGGTTGACTAGACTAGATCAGGGCTACTCAACTTGCGGACCGCGGTCCGAATCTGAACCTTTCGAGTATTTGATGCGGACCCCACATAATTCTTTATTTTGGATCATCAGCCCCACTTTTGAAGTTCCCTTTTATAAAATGACTTTTATAGTTTTGAATTTATATAAAAAGAACTATAGCACCATGATAAACAATCTTGATTAGCTAATAACCATTAGCCAGTGCGCGTTTAAGGATGTCGAAATATAATTTCTGGAAAGACCGGACCCAAATAATTTTGAAGTTTTGTATGCAGATCTTCGATAAAAATAGTTGAGTAGCCCTAGACTAGAGCGTCTTTAAAAAGAAGCTTAGTTCTCTTGCATGATTGACTTATTTATTAGACACGGAGTCGACCTATTAATTGTTTGACTAAGTTGTAGTAACAATCTTCTTGTTGTTTTTGGGTGAACACTATTACCTCATCTACTGGTGTTCATAGCCATATTTTTCTATGTTACAGGTTTGTTTTTTTGTGCTGTAAACTCTTTTAGGTGATACCTATTTAAGACTTAATCACAGGTGTCGTTGCTTGTTAACCAGTATTGGTTTTTCGTGCCTTCCTTCACACTAAAATGCCATTTTTACATTTTATATAATGTTAATACGAAGTGTATTTTCATGATTGCGAAAAAAAGATACGAGTTACTGATTGCATAATAGCAGTGGAATCAGGTGTTATGAAAGTTCTTAAAAATTAGGCAAAAGACATGAAAGTCTAAAAACTACCCATTTAGCAGGATGTGCCAACAGTAGAACCAAAGCCTTGTATATAATTGGGTTAACCATTGACTAATATATATTGGTTTGCTGTCTACCGGTATGTTTGTATTTAGCAAACTTTGCTACAAGTTTGAATTGTGGGTAGCATGGTAATTAAAGTGGGTTTTGAAAGTAGGTGTGGTTATACTTGAATAGTATATTTGGTATCCCAAGATTTTGTTCTTTTTTTTGTGAATTCCTCAGTTGCGAAAGGCTATTGTAGGATATATATTTAATGTTTCATATCAAAACCATTTTATTAGAATGTTCTCGTCAATTACTATTTCGCAATTTCTATAACCTCATCTAAATTGAACTTTGGCAACCAAATAACTTATTATTCGATTCGAAGTGCACAGCTCTACCTATGACTTGACTTGACCGTCACCTCTGGATTTATAAACTTTCTAACAAAACAAATAAAACCCCATCATCGAGTACACAATAGTTAATTCCACTGCCCTTTTCTTTCCAACACTGCAAGCCCTCTTATTGACTTTCCCCACTTCTAAGACAAATAGTATGTTTTTTGCCACCGTGAGAATCTAGTCAGATGAACTCTATCTATCAAGGAAATAATTTTAAAGTTGCATATTTTTTCAGATTTAAGCTTAATTTTTTTCATTTTTACACTGTTCTACACAAGTATTTTTTGCCTGGGATTAGACGCTGCTGACACAAGATGGCGGAAGCCCATGCCGCTGTAGCGTTTCAATTCACTGTCACTCCTGATGGACTAAGACTCCATGTAAGTACCGATCATATTTTTTAGGTCGCTTGTTCTTCTTTTGCTCCTAACAATCTCCCTAACTATTTCCCCACATTGATAATTCTCACTAACTATGGTAGCTCCTTAAAACCAGGCTGCTTACCGAAGTCTTGTTTTCAATTAAAAGGCATATTAAATCAGGAGCCAAGCAATTTCCTCAGACTACGTCGCAGCGGTTTTCAACCTGTTTTTTCCTCATGGCCAACTTCAGTTGCCCAAAAAGTTATGGCTCATTAACCTCTTTCATACAAGGGAAAAACTACACAAGAAAAACAGAAATGTTTTTGCAAAGATGTGCACTCCCACTTTATTAATTATAATGAGAATTGCCACCCAGAACCAAACTATAGTAACATCATTTTTTGCTACAAAAATCAGTTTAACTAATTTATCAATGACTATATCAATTATTAATAGTTTTGTGGCCTACCTGCCCCCAGAAGTGGGCTGATGCTCACTGGTATGGAACAGGTTGTCTGGGGGCACATTTTGACTTTTCAAGGTGTACGTTAGATGAAGTATAAGGATATTCTTTCCATAACTGCTAATCTGCCCTAGAATATTTTTACCAACTGAATTTAATAATTTGAAACACTTGTGAAATGACATTTTCACATCAGTAGAAGCTTTATCTACAGTAACTATCAAGTTTACTTTTGAATGACCAATTTTGGGGGGTAGATGAGTAACCAGTTATGTATCCAAATTCCAAAGGGTACAGAAGGTTCTGGGAAACCTGTCATAGACAATTATTCTTCACGATGTTCGAATCTACTGATGTCAATCGACAATATTGAGTATGTTCTCTCGCACAGAGAACTAACTAACAGTTTGATTTATTCACTTTTTTCAGATTTCAAGTGAAGCTCTTCGCGCTGTTTATCTTTCTGGAATCAGATCTTGGAGGAAGAGGGCCACTAGATTCAGGGTAAAAACAGATTTAGTTTGTTTCATTTAGTGCTCATTTGGAACAGAGCAGTGTAATCGACGGTGGTACATAGAATAGTGGGCGCTCCGAAAGTATGTGTACCAAGATGACACACAACCTGAACCCTAACCTGGTTTGATACTATGTTCAGGTTGTGCGCCATCTTGGTTCACATACTTCAGGAGCACCAAATAGTGGGGTTGGAGCTGGAGACCTGGTTGAAAGACTACTATTTTTAATTACTTAATTTTCATTTTAAAATCGTTTTCTGAGCAGAGTATACCCAACAGCTTTCTCTAGTTTTTTTTCTATAAATTAGCAAACGTATATGCAGCCACTGATGTGTGCAAAAACTAATCGAGCTATACAGCACTGGAACTTCTCTTGGTGCTAATTCTAGATGTAAATTATCGTGTTCAAGTCTTTTAAATTATAATCATGTTCAAGTCAAAATGTTTAGTCTGTACATTCATGGTTTGTGAAGTTACAAACTAATTTCGGTATTCCCGTAGTGTTTGTACCAGGTTAGGCCATAATTTTATTCCAATTTTCCTTATTTTAGTTCCATTACGAGTTCGGGGACTGTCTGTGTTAGTCAAGTGAATATACCCCATGCCCATAGGTTTCCGTCCCTTTACCCAACTTGATGTAAAGTAGGCGAACAAAATTAGTTACCTCCATATTGGTACACATACTTCTGTAGCGCCGTAATTTCTTTTCATTTCCCTTATCTCTACCCAGACTTGACACTGTGGAACTCTTTCGCATAAGGCCCCCATTAGGCCAGCCCGGGAGCTTATGTGTATGCATATTGCTTATACCATTTCTATTTGATTATTTGAATTTTTAATTTAATTTCAGAATCGTTTTCTGAGTGGAGTATACCCTGCAACATTCTCAAGTTTGTTTGTATTAATTGGAGTGGTAACCTTGGTAACGGTTTGTGGGTTCGACCTATCGTTCGGGTACATACCGAGTATAGCTGGGTATATCTCAACTGAGTAAGTATAATTTTTTTTTCACGCTTATCTACGCTGTTCGCCTCAGACAAACCCTGAAAACACCCTGCGAAATAATTTTATCAAGTAATAAAACTAGGAAGAACGGTGAGTTTTCTTGTAAAGTGAAAGTAAAATCAGTGTTGCGCCTACTTTTATCTTGACAAGACAACTTCCTGTTTTTCCTAGTTTCTTTGCTTGATTTGGCTATTTTACAGAATTTTTGTACATGGTTGAAAATGAATTGTTTAAACATTATGGGATTTGGGATCTATGAATCGAAATAACACTAGAATGCTAAACAGGGGTGCCATGAGCACTAAAAGGAAGGGGGCCCAGAAGGTTGGGAGTCGCTGCGTTAGGGCATAGCACCCAACTGAGCGGACGTTTAGAATTTATCAGACCTAAATTTCCTCAGCGAATAAAATATGAAAATATTGAAGAATTGCCTTGAAAAATGACCATTGAAGACCAGAATGACAGCATTTACGTAGTGGTTTTGACTATAAGGCTGTACTATCATTCTGGGCTGTCATTAGTTTAAGAGTGGAAAATAGGACGCTATAGCATAATAATTCCCGGATAAGGATAGGATTTATTAACCCTCTTACACATAAATAATTATCGCCCACGAGATTTGAACCTGCGATTGCATGGTGATCAACGATATTTCTAACGCTTTGCGCGATGCGTGCCATACTGTCGGGCCGCCGTTACGACAAACACATATACAAAATGTAAATGATAATATAAAGTTAACAAAAAGCAACACCTTTTTTTAGGCCGTCGAAGTTTGTCTTAGGCTTCGCAGCTATCCTTTTTACAACGATTGTCTGGACTCTGGCCGTCTTACTCATCCGATATACCCTCAAACTATTGCTTTGTTACCATGGATGGATGTTCGAACCTCGAGGAAAAGTCTCGATCACGACTAAATTATGGGCGGTAAGTATTTTTTCACTGTTTTTTTACGTATATTTATTGCGGTGACTTGAAAGATTTTCTTTGATTGATTCGTAGGCTATTGCTTTTCATATTTTAGTAGTTACGAAAATACTAATCGAAAATTAATTATATTTCGGGCACTTTACCACACATTTCAAGTACACAGATCGCCGTTTATTTTATGAATACGGAAATATGAATCAAAAATTAATTATAATCGTTTAGTTTATCACACATTTTAAGTCCACAGATCGTCGTTGTATTTTGTAAATACGAAAATAGGAATCAATAATTAATAATAATCGCGCTGTTTACCATACAATTTATGTCTACAATTTGCCATGGTATTGTGCCCTAATATAATTAATTTTTAATTCATGTTTTTGTACTCACGAAAAAATTAATATCGGGCAGTTTACCACACATTTTAAGTCCACATATCGCCAATTTATTTTAGAATAATAATAATTTTAATATTTTGTAAATAGGAAAATAGAAATAAAAATTAATAATATCGGCAGTTTACCACACATTTGATGTCCACGGATTGTCGTGGCATTTTTCAGTTATAATACGTTTATTATTTTGTAAATATGAATCAGAAATTGATAATATCGTGTAGTTTACCATACATTTTATATTCCACAGATTGTAGACGCAACCATGAGTTACGTTGAACAAAATTTAATTAATAGGGCATAATAATTTCGAATGATAGTATCGGTCATGGATTGGAAAATTTTGTGCGACAGAAAATCAGCATAGTAAAAAGTCGAAGCTTTTAAGCTATCATTGTCAAAATTATTTGTCGAAAAACGGGAAAAAGTATGAATTATTTTTCCTAATAAATAGACTTGTTTTTCCAACTTGCGACGATTTGTTGGGTATCGTAACAATTACGACTTGAATTTATTTTCAATTTTTCAATGCAATGGGAATGGTGTGTAAATTAGAAGTCTTGTAGGGGAATGGCGGCAATTCTCACCACACAAAGTGCAAAGTGCACACAAAGCGTCGCACACCCACACAAAATATAAACAATCAAAGTGCCGATTTTCATCGTCATTACAATACGTGACAAAGTGCAACTCGTTTGAAGATTCGCATGAAAACGAAACACCGTGTTTACGACGAAAAGTGGCTATCATTCGGAATTATTCGAAAATCAGCTGAAAAGGTCGAATACTTTGATATTCGAATACGTTCGAATATTCGATTCGTTTCTGACAACCCTGATTGATTTTACAATGCCTATCCATACTCGGAGAAGACCAACTAGAGCAGGGTGATCCAAGGTTGTCAGGGCCACAAATTTATTTTTTCATTATTCGCGGGCCACAATAGTGCCAAGAATAGGTGAACAGTGAAAAACAAAACAAACACTTTAGTTATCAGGCATAGCCATCCTAGGCTAATAGAATCTGCATTCGATTTTTAGTTTTCTATGAAGGCTATATTGTTAGCATATATTCCCGACCAAAAAGATAGAAAGCCAGATAATAATTTAGACTGCCAAGCACACCATTCAACTTCGCTAGTTGCCTCAGCTAGCCATAACACTAGTCAATTCAGTGACATTAGTGTCAAATATATGTATCAATAATATGTAACAATATGTTTTTTTAATTAACCACGATTTGAAATGCGATTTATTGATTACTCTCCGAATGTGGTGCGGGCCACAGATAATGAAGCGGCGAGCAGAGCGGGTCAGCAAATTACGGCCTGCGGGCCAAATACAGCCCACCGAAATGTTTCAACCATTCCACTTGTACACTCCAAAATTACGGCTATCGTTTTTATGGATATATAATTTCTGTCCACAATATTGACAAAGTATGCAGTCAGTCTTATTAATCATTGTGTCACTTCGTACTCTAGCTGCTTGTTGTGCATTAGTAGATGTTACGCTATTTTTTGTAAATGAACAGTTTTTTTTCATAGTTTTTCATATTGAGTTTTGAACCCGGTAACCACATTATTATCTGTATCTGGCCCACCCCTGGAATATAGTGTAATAAATTGGATAGGCAATAACCGAAACACAAAGGTCCCAGTTTTTCCAAAAAAAGAAGTTCTTTCATATCGATTGATATGTGGGATTTCTTGTAGAAGGCCTTGTTTGCGGTGAAGGGTGCGAATATGCATCACATAACAAAAAATGGCGCTCCAGAAGTATTGGCGCACAATCTGATAACCCTAACCTGGTACACATACTATGTTCAGGTTGAGCGTCATCTTGGTGCATTTCGGGAGCACCTAATAAATTACTCAACCTGCTCAAATCTCTCTAATTGATAAAAATTCAATATTTTTCCAGGTTTCCACAAAACTTCTATGTGGAAAGGAACCACGATTGTTCAGCTATCAAGCGTCTCTTCCAAGATTGCCTGTTCCATCTGTCAAGAATACTGTACAAAGGGTGAGTTAGGGTTGCGTTCACCTATGCATGTTCTCACACCTATGCAAGTCCTGACATGGGCGAACTACGGCCTGCAGGCCAAATTCATCCCATTGGGTAATTCAATCTGGCTCGCCTAAAGCTGGCAAAACCCAAATGAAACCATATTAAGGTGTTTTAGCTGAAAAAAAGCTCTAGGAATTTGTTGAGATTTCAATTAAATTTAGTTTTGGCGCGAGGAATATCGTTTTCCATTTTTGTTTTGTAACACTGTAAATATTGTTCATAAAATTTTTCACGAGGTCATACAAACATGGCCCGTAATTCTGGGTGGGCAAAATTTTTGGCCCCTCATCCAAAAACCTTGCCCACTCCTGCCCTGGCCCTTGTTCATCGAATTGGTTTGGGTCAATTCCACTCTTTGTTTATCTTTGACACGTCTTGACTCGTAATCAGGACCTAGGGACGTCTACCTAACACTAGGTGGCGCTAATTCGTTTTTTTTCTGAAACTTTTTCTGAACACTAGAAGGTTCACTACTTTAATTCATCACATTATCTTTCTTTTTCTTTCAGTATCTACGCAGCGTCAGACCTCTTCTTGCTGACCCTGAGTACGACTCGATCGTGTCTTTGTCTCAAGAATTCGAAGCTACTTTGGGAAGTAAATTACAGCGATATCTGATTTTGAAATCTTGGTGGTCGACTAACTATGTCACTGACTGGTAAGTGCTTGCTGAAGGTAAATAATCGGTACTCCCGAAGTATGTGAACCAAGATGGCGTACACCGGAACGTAGTATGTGTACCAGGTTAGGTTTAGGCCATAATTTTATTCCAATTTTCAATATTTTAGGTAAATTACGATTTCGGGGACTAGCCAAGTGACTCCCGTAGTATTTGTATCTGAGATTATGGCCTAACCCTTAGTACGTATACTTCATGTATATGAGCCTTCTTTGTTTTGTGAGTGTCCTTTGGAGTACTTCTTTAATCCAAGCTTAAACCCCCCTTTGAAAAAAATTCTTTACTAAGCTCCTGTTATGGCCTTTCTTTTCAAACTGTCACCGCTGTGAAGACTTTTTAAACTTCACATAGTGAGAGGAGTTGAAATTTTGGAGAAAATTGTTTGTTCTGGCTTTTATTTCACACAAACTTCAAGGGTAACACTGTATATTTTCTTGTATACGGTACTTCATTTTGATGTATTTTTCGCAAGGAGAACACTACTGAAATGCATAAAGACTTTATTTTTTTTTATATTTTGTCCAATTGGAACCTTACCTATTTGCACACACAATTAAATTAGATATATTTTACTAAAGGGAATTTTCCTGAAGGGAAATGCATCCAAATTTGATCTATTTTATCCATGGGAACACTACTTAAATGCGCTTAGAATCAAATTTAATATGCTTTATCCATGTAGGAACATGGACTGAGAGAACAGAGAACATATTTGCACATAGACTTTATTTTGATATAGTTTTTTGGGGCCAACACTACTTGTGTTCAAAAGATAATTGGGTGCCCCAGAAGTATGTGTACCAATAGGGAGATAACTAATTTTGTTCGCCTACTTTACATCAAGTTGTCTAAAGGGACTGAAACCTATGGGCATGGAGTATATTCACTTGACTAACACAGACAGTCCCCGAGCTCGTAATAGAACTACAATAAGGAAAATTGGAATAGAATTATGGCCTAACCCTAACCTGGTACACATACTACGGGAGTACCGATAATTCACTACTACCAGCACTATTTTAGTATATTCATATATGGATAACACTACTTTATTACACATAGTACAAATTTATTATATTTTTCCAGGTGGGAACAATATGTCTACCTTGCAGGCCGTGGTCCAATTATGGTGAACTCTAATTACTACGGCATGGATTTGATGTTCATGCAGCCGACGTCAAGTCAAATATCGCGTGCCGCCACTATCACTCATGCGTTATTTGCTTTCCGAAGCACACTCGATAAAGAGATGATTAAACCGGTAAGTAAAGATGGCTTAGTTGTTAGTTCAGGAGTGGGCAAATAGTTTTCTGAGTATTCCCAAAGTATGTGAACCAAGATGGCGGACACCGGAACGTAGGAAGTGTACCAGGTTAAGGTTAGGCCATAATTTTATTCCAATTTTCCTTATTTTAGTTCTATTACGAGTTCAGGGACTAGCCAAGTGACTCCCGTAGTATTTGTACCTGAAATTATGACCTTATCCTAACCTGGTACACATACTACGGGAGTACCCAAAGTTTCTCTAATAGACTGGAGTAAGTCAAATGTAAATTATCCCACAGCCCAAATGTTTTTTATGTTTCTCTCATTTTTTCAATGATAATATTTAAATATTTCAGATTCAAGTGAATGGGCTTGTACCTCTCTGCAGTTTCCAGTATGAGAGAGTATTCAACACCAGTAGAAGCCCTGGAATTGATATCGGTAATTTTTTCTTTTTTTGGCTTTTTTGCATTATTATTCTACAGTATACGGAAGTTATTGTCTCACTCTGAGAGTAGTGTGATAAATTTTATTCGCAACGGTAGCAGTGACATCAGAATGACCAATTTTTTCCGATTCCAAACGAGCGAAGAATCGGACTTGGAGGTAATCATAAATTAGATACTGGAGTTTGATCAGCATATATTGGTTTGAGAATATTTATCCTTCGCTGTTTAGATAGTACATGTATACTTGTATACTAAGGTTTTTGGGGAATTTTCAACACTCATGACCAAAAATTAGGTCGGCCTTAGATTTAAATAAATCTTAAATCAATGATGAAACATTTACTAAGGGTACAATTACATAATTAACTTTACAAATTGAATGGAACATAAACAATACAACATTTTGTGGCCATTTCATCAAGATTGCAGAGTTTATTGGCAGCAGTGGCATTTTTTATATACGATCACGAATTATATGTAATTTTTTATTGTTGTTCAAATTTACTGTATCATAGTAAATAGCTAGTATAATATGTGCAATTTGGCTTTTGTATAGTTCCAAATAAATATATATTAGTGTTAATAATAAGTAAAGGATATCAGTAAAAACAATGATAAAAACAGTTTATTCACAACAGCTAGGCTAACGTTTATATAATAATAGGAGAAACACGAAGTAACAATTGGGGCCATTATGACGTTCTTTTCATCGATATTTTTAATGGAAATTCATATCCATGAAAACTATAGTCGTAATTTTAGCAGATCTAAGTGGGCCGGATAAATTTTGGTGGACCCACCCACCCTAACCGAGGAGTAAGATTTTCTTCTCGGTAAGACTTCGTCTCAAGTTAGGAAACACTGATTTATTGTTTATCATTTTCCAGATCAGAATGTTCACTACATGGATTGTCGTCATGTTGCCGTGTACCATGCCGGACGCTGGTTCAAAGTGCCATGTTACAAGCACGGCATCTTGCTCAGACCAAAAGAAATTGAATCACAGATGGAGGCTATTATTAATGTAGGTTTACTTGTGGATATGACGATGGAATGCGGGATTTCCAATCCTTTCTTCATTAATACCCGAAATTATAAAACAGTGGTTCTCAGATCAAGCTATGCCCGCCCCTTTTTTAGGCTTGCACGTAATTTACGGATTTACGGAATTACGGAATTATTTCGAGTTACGGAAGCGAAGTTACGAATTACGTAAATTCGTAATTATTGGTGGAGCGCTTTCGCGATTGAAACGAGCTCTTTTCAGAGCAGTCAATTCCGTCGATTGTTAAAAATTAAAGTTTAATAAGTAGAAGAAGTTAGAGTTCCGGTATTCGCAGCCGTTTTTCTCTCTCTTGTTACGCAGATGGAGAAGGCATAACGCGTTGCCATTTACTAACCTATTATCAACTTATCTAGCATGGCAAATGTACATATTAAGCGTAGATATGGGATAGAATTGTGTTGAGACCGATGGACGCCAACACACCTGGTTTCAACTTCTTCGGGTGAAATGACTAAAGAATGTAAGAGATCAACTTACCAAACATGGTCTATTTGTAAATGCCGTGATAATTAATGTCGCGCTTATCAAACAGCAATATGACGACGGAAGAGAAATTGCGTAATGAACCGACGCAACTTAGTCTTTTCGGCATCGGTAAAGCGATTCAGACGGCAGAGAAACAACAAAAAGACGGGATTTCCCATGTTTATTCTGCGCGAGATCCATTTTCTATTACAAAATCTTGATACTCTGTTACCGGTTTTATCATTATATATCTGTCCGGACTTGGCCTTGTTTTCACAATGCCTCGCACTATTTTGGCCAAATATGTCTTTACAAAATCTTTAAGTCTTTACCTAATGCGGCAACTTATTTTGATTTATCGTCGACTCAAATACCACCGGCACTCGACCAAACTTGTGTCAATCTTAGCCGATAGGATTGTCGACTTGAGTTAGAAAAGTAAATTAATATTTTCGTGAGTGCAAAATAAATGTCACAAAATGCATTGTTTTGCGATATAACTTTGTATTTTCGGAGAAGGCATGTCACATAAGTACAGTATTTAAATTATGCGCAAATAATTAATATTTGATCTAAATTTATCGCAAATAATGTTATAACATTTAGGCCGCGAAATGATTTAATGTGAAATGAAGCATGGTAATCGGAATATCGTCAATAAGTCGGCATCAATAATTATTATAAAATGCTAACTAGGTAGTAAAGTCGGATAATGTAAAAAAACGGTACAATAACAAGTCTTCGTCGCGAGGCAAGCGCAAGTATAATCAAAGGAGAGAATACGCTCGTCGTTGATTTATAAATTAGAAACCCGGAATTTTTATTTAATACGAAACTCGTATTAATACGTTAATACGATTTTAAAAAAGTCAACTATCGTTTCATAAATATATTACCACTTACCAGTGTTGGTAATGATGAAATTGATCGCATAAAATTGGGTGATAAGGTTGATAAAGGAAAATCAAAGCTAACACAAAAGATAAAAATCAGAATAAAATTAATTGAAATTCACTCCTTGATATTTGTATTTAGCATCTGTCGCCGGCGTGTAGTACTGGCGGAAATATGAAAACCAAACTGTCTCAACTGTCGATGTCCCATTCGGAATAGAAGTGGATTAAATTGGTTGTTATGATAGGTTTAAAAGTATGAAAAAAATATCGCAATTACGGGGTCATTACGTAATCGATTTGGCCGTAATTACGGAATTGATTTTTGTCAATTACGTGCAAGCCTACCCTTTTTAGAATTTTTTCGCCCCTCACCTGAAAAATAACTAGCTAAGGATAAGCTACAAATAACATATAGTAAAGTGAAAGTATGTTTCATTCAAAAAACAAGATGGAAATACATGGATGGAACAAAAATATCCAAAATAAAGCAATGTGAATATCTATGGGTGATGATTTGGGACAATGTCACACTTTGTTTAATAATTTAATTTTTTTTCAGGACCCATCTCCCCCCAGTGCCGGGGAGGAACATCTTGGTGCTTTAACTGCTGGAGAACGAAGACCATGGGCAGAGGTCAGTAATTATTACTTAGCGATCTTGATCGGTATTTGTCTGTTTGAATGGTTTCGTAGGATGGGTTTTGATAGGTATTTGTCTGTTTGTTTGTCTGTTAGACACTTTCTTATGTTACGCGATATCTCACGAAAGCGAGGTTTAGTCTGCTCTAAATTTTGCATGTGCATTCATCATATCTCGGACCAGAAGCCTATTGATGAATTATGTCGTATAATTAGCGAGTTATTAATTAATTAGTGATGGGACACGCGTTGGTGCTATTGAGTCAAAGCGAAGGAATCGAAACCGCCGTTTCTGTTTTGGGGAATCCCCTAACTGAACATACGGAAGTTGGCGGTCTCCGATCGCTATCTCGTATTAATTAATTGGCTAATTATAGAAATTTCTGTATTTCACTGCGCATAAGGAGCCCTTTGAAATCTTTTTTCTGAAAATCAATTGTGCTCATTATGAGTCGGTGCTTTATGCTTTACTGTGCACACTCAAAACCAGTGCCAATTGCGTCTTAAAGCCTGGGCGCCGTTTATGAGGGCATGGGAGTTGAACCAGAGTATGTAATCAACATTACCAACATAGCGGAGTCTATACTTGAACTACTAAGCCACTGAGGCCCATTAAAATAAAACTGATCTAAATGATTATTTTATTCTTCACAGGCTCGTCGTGATTTCTTCAAATCCGGAGTAAACAAAGAGTCGTTGCACGCGATCGAGAAAGCGGCGTTCGTGGTTGTGTTGGACGATGAATCCCATGTGTTAGACGTTGATGATGCGACAACTTTCTCGAAGTTCGGACGTTCGCTGTTGCATGGAAAATGCCATAACAGGTGATCAAATTTTATGATTATCCCCCTACCATGTTCAGAGTGACTGCATAATCACCCCTCCCTCCACATAAAAGCGAGTCACTAACAGTCACTAAATCCAATTCAGATGGTTCGACAAATCTTTCCAAGTTATTTTCTACAAAAACGGGCGATTTGGAATGAACGCGGAACATTCCTGGGCCGACGCTCCGATCATGAGTCATCTTACGGAAGAAGTATTGTATGATGAGTTTGCGAACTTTGGATATAATGATGACGGTACCTGCGTCGGAGAATTAACTACGACCCCACTCCCGCCTCAACGCTTGAAATGGAACATTCCAGAACCTGTGAGTCTTGCTTTAAAAAAATTTCTTCTGTTAGGAATATATTGTGTGTGGGAACACTGATTTAATGCTAGGTAGAATTTGTCTTTCAATCTTAACTATTTGAATAAAAATATCTCGTGTGGGAACACTAATTTAATGCTAGGTGGAATCTGTCTTTCATTCTTGGCTATTTGATTAAAAATATCTTGTGTGGGAACACTGATTTAATGTCAGGTGGAATCTGTCTTTCATTCTTGGCTATTTGATTAAAAATATCTTGTGTGGGAACACTGATTTAATGTCAGGTGGAATCTGTCTTTCATTCATGGCTAATTGAATAAAAATATCATGTGTGGGAACACTGATTAATGCCAGGTGGAATCTATCTTTAAATCTTGGCTATTTGATTAAAAATATCTTGTGTGGAAACACTGATTTAATGCCAGGTGGAATCTATCTTTAAATCTTGGCTATTTGATTAAAAATATCTTGTGTGGGAACACTAATTTAATACCAGGTGGAATCGGTCTTTTAATCTTGTCTATTTGATTGAAAATATCTTCTGTAAGAACACTGATTTAATGCCAGGTGGAATCTGTTTTTCAATCATGGCTATTTGATTAAAAATATCTTGTGTGGGAACACTAATTTAATGCCAGGTGCCATTTTTTCCACAATCATTTTTGCACATCGCATCGTGGCCTCTCCGAAACTGCTTTGTGTCCCCCATTTGATAACTGCTGCGCTATGTATTGACATTTTCTGGAGCATTGATTTCATACTGAGTGAAATCAGTTTCCTAACAATTACTTTTCCTTTATACAGTGCATTGACGTCATTGAATCAAGTCTAAAGGTTGCAAAGCTTTTATCTGACGACGTTGACCTCCACGTGTTTCCATTCCGACGATTCGGGAAAGGATTGATCAAAACTTTCCGAATGTCTCCTGACGCTTTCATCCAATTGTCCCTTCAACTTGCACATTTCAGGGTAAGAGATTTTTTTTTTAAATCAAAAATATTGTAAACATTTTTTTGTCGGTGAGCCATATAACCAACTTCAGACATCTAGCTAGCCACACAAAATATTTAGTTTTTCGATGTACACAACGTCATCACATAAACCTTACAGTAGAAAGGGTGTGTTAGTTGAGGGTCGGCTTATTTTAATTCAAGCTCGAGAAAGTAAAAGCACCCTTTGAAATAACCTTATCACCCAATGAAACTAGGGAGAACGGGGAGTAATAGGAAAAGGAAAAGTAAACTCAGTTTTGTGCCCAGCGGGGTTTGAGAGTTGGAACCCCCTTTTTAAAATGTTGAAACCTTCAAAACAGATCAGATCTCATATTTCCTCCCTTCTGAAATTAAAAATAAAAATCATCTTTATTACAGGACAAAGGTCATTTCAGTTTGACGTACGAAGCTTCGATGACAAGATTGTTCCGAGAAGGAAGGACCGAGACTGTTCGTTCATGCACGACTGAATCCTGCGCTTTCGTTCGGGCCATGGAAGATCCAGAACAAACTGTAAGTTTATTATTTGACTAAACCAAGCTGTGCTCATTAGAGTGTGACTGGTCAGAATAATGTAATTATAATAAACAGGACTCGATGCTGTTATTTCAAGTTTTATAATCTGTGACCCCTTAAAGACTCTCAATGCTTGTGACCTGCCAGCTCTTCTATGGAAGTACTTGGTTTCGATAATGAAAAATGAACATAAAAGAGTAAATGTATTACAATTGAAGATATTGAACCAATAACAGTTAATTTATATTGAATTATGAATTGATATAGTAATCTCAAATGGCAAGTGCGAGGCCTTTAGGTCGGGGCCCGCAGAGAAACTTCTGTACAACCGGTTCAAGCAAGGCCTTGTATGAGAAGCCACTGATATGGGAGAACCCAGGGGGCTAGCCAGGTAGGAGGGGGGTGAGGTTGGGGGTTGAGCCCTCCTCTATCGAAATTAAAAAAAGATATTTAGCAGTTTTTGGGCGCTCCGGTAGTATTCTTACCAAGATGACGCACAACCTGAGCCCTAACCTGGTACACAGACTATGTTCAGGTTGTGCACCATTTTGGTACAAATACCACGGGAGGACCGTTTTTCGTTCTCGAGACTGTTTAAAAATCGGGCTTTTCCGGCCTTCTTCCAGACCTGCTGGCTGTTACGGGCTAACTAGGCAATTAAAAATTCTGGTTTCAAAACCCACCTACTGCATGCGTGGTAGAGAGGCCCCTATTAATGCTGTGTAATTTAACATTGGAATATATTGGCTTTCGTTTCCTCTGTTAAACCAAACCAAAATTATTTCTTCATTTCAAATAAATTCCACTTTTCAGAATGAAGACAGAATTGCTCTTCTGAAGAAAGCCACAGAACGCCATGTATCAGGATATAAGGAGGCCATGACTGGTAAGTTATTGTGTTATTCAGAAACATTTTCTCACCCTCAATTCGAACTTAGTACCCGCTGGCTATATGAGGCAGGGACATAGGGTTTTGAGGGCCGAAACGCCCACTTTTGAAATGTAAAAAACATTTTCTGTAACATACATAGCAATTTTTCTTAGCTTGAAACGCTTTTTATACCCTCAAGAGTCTTGGAAGCCCACGTTTTCCTCAACCCCACATCCAGCTAAACCAGCTGTTTCCTCTAACTTGGCAATTAAAAATTTCAGAAATTATTCAAAATAACTTGCTAACAATAAGCTACAAATAACAGATAGTAAGGCGAAGTATGTTTTAATCAAAAAACATGTTGAAAATGCCTGGATGGAACGCACATATTCAGAATAAAGCGGACAATCCAATCCAATCTAACAAATATTTTTTTTTTCAACTAACTTTACGCCCCTCTTGTGGGAAGCCCCCCCAACCACTACACTAATCTATGCTTGAAACAATCCAAGTAAATTGGGAGGTGGGGGGAATTCCCACAAGGCCCCAATTCTAAACCGATCTTTTTTTCCTCCCATAGGTCAAGGCATTGATCGTCATTTATTCTGTCTCTATGTCGTGTCAAAATATCTCAAGATTGAGTCTCCCTTCTTGCAAAAGGTCAGAATATCATTTTCTTTTGTTTTTTTTCTTTTTTTTTAATTTTTTTTGATTTATACTTTTTCTTATTGTTTATATATTTCTACTCACTTTTTAATACGCTAACCTTATGTGATGTTTTGTGTCTTCGCTCTGGACAAACCTAATAAGTTGTCACTGATGATTTGTAAGGGCCTGCTTTTTTTTTGAATGTCTGGGTTCAATTAATTGGGCAGGCAATACTGGGAACTGGGAAGTTTCTGATTCGCTGTTGGCATTAATTCCCCCCCTCTAAAATTTCAAACACCCCCCTAATTTTGAAGTAAGATACCGCACTTTATTACCTAACTTGAGTATAATTGTATTTGAATATCCAGAAGGTAGAATATTTATCAGTGCAGATGGTCTGTCAAATACATAACACATTTTTATAAGTTACAAATAGTTTAATCGTTAATAGGAAAATATTTACCAACCTTCTAAATTCCCCCCCTCTAAAATGAATGCTGAGGTACACATCTGGCCGTAGGTTTCCATATCTCCACTATGTGAGAACCTCCTGTTCTAGAAGTTACAGAATCTTTCCAGTTTAGCCGATGATCAATTTATTACACCGTGGGTAAGGTTGGCGACGTGATGTTTTGAACTCAAACTAATCGTCTAGGTCCAAACCCTTAAACATTAGAAATAAGTAAAAGCACAATAAAGTTGGATTTCCAGATCTATTAGTCTTCATTGCTTTTCTAAACACTTGCCCCCGCTTTCGTCTTTGCCTACCCAAATTTATTGCACCTCTAGGTGAGCTGGTGAGCAGAGTTTTTTATTCAGCCAACATAGTCTCACACCATAAACATTAGCATAAAAGTAAAAACTAAAAGCATAAGTTGTTTTCACAACATTTCTCACAACGATCATTTTTCTTTTCGGTGTTTCTTATCATGCTGGTGCAAGCTATCGCTGAAACGTAATTTTCTTTTTCGCTGTTGCAACTTAGTGCATGTTTATTTCGAAATTCACGAAATTTTATCCGTAAAAAATTTGTCAAAATGGCTGTTATGGAATTAATTTCATCTGGTCACATTGACATTTCAAACCCCGCATTATTTACTCATTCGACCATGACTGCCATTAGATTCTCAATCATATGACTCTCTAGTCATTATCGTTAATCAAATATTTTTCTCATTTTAACCCTGCATTTTCGGTCATCATTCATCCAACCATGACTGCCATTCATTTTTCAATCATGCGGCGTTCTATTGCATATTCATCAATTTTTTGTTCAATTTATCCCCGCATTTTTGTTAAGTGTTTCACAAATGTTTGTTCATTAGATAAAAAATCATAAAGAATGTTATTATCATTCTAACCCTGCATTTTTAATCATTCAACTGTGACTGTCTTTATTTGTACCCTTCATTTTTAGTTATTAACGCATGGCTGTCTATTGTCATCAAATTCTTCATTATGTCAAAAAAAAACAATTTTCAAAAAAGTTTTTTTTGAATCGCGAATTACAATCTTGAAAATAATTATTTATTTGTTCGCCACAATGTACGATATTTTCAAAACCATTATATATTTTGAAATTTAGAAATTTTCTTTGTATCTAACTAAACTAAAAAACAATTGTCTTGATTTGTATATCCAGCAAACATTCGTCCCCTCTGTGACAGCAGCAACTTGTGAATACGCAAATAGTTCCGCATCAATTTTAGTTCATTTTGATACTGCATTTTTACTTATTAGACCGTGACTCTTTAGTTGAACCCTCAGTAACATATCACCCTGTGACTCTACAAATCCATGCGATCCCCTGAATGATTAGATAGATCCACATCAATTTTGGTTCATTTCAACCCTGAATTTTTATTTATTAGACCGCGACTCTTTAGTTGAACACTCTGTGACAAAGCAGTTACAAATCCTTGCGACCCTCGAATGTGCACATAGTATAACAGCAATTTTGCTTCATTTAAACCCTTTTTTTACTTATTGGACCAAAACTTCTTTTTAGTTGAATCTGATAATGAAAAATTAACAGTCTTTTTTAATTTTATTTTCATTTCAATCCTGCATTTTAACTCATCTAACCATGACCCACATGGCAAGTCATTGGACCTTTCAAATACACCCATAGGTTGTGACTCATAGCCTTTCAAAAAACATGATTCAAAAATTGAAGGAAGGAGGGGAATCCCATTTTTGGATGTAGTCATTACACACATATCACATTTTTTTATATTAAAAAGAAAACCTTTTTCATCTTTGAGTTTCTCTACTCTAAAAAATAACTATTATCATGCTGTGTGTCTTTCTTTTCACTGTTTCATTAATCTTCAATCAGTTTCCATGTTTTCTGTCGCAATAAACTCCCGACTTAAGTAAGTCTGTCTTGCTGCAATTTAACCAAATTGGCTTATGTCACATCTTAAGGTTTTGTGAAACATTGACTTGGTCTTATTTTGAAGGGAAGGCCTATATTAAATCATTTTTTAAAATTCAGGCTAGGTCTTATTTCAGTTAAACAACGTTAGTATGGTTCTAACAACCAAAACTAAAATGCACATAAGGGACGACTTGCAATCAAAACTAAAATAGGTGCAGGTACGCCATATTAAGATGGTCCATGATGATGGTAGATGAAAAATTCAATTTCTGAAAAAAGTGACATAAACTGCTTTGGTTTTTCCGCGGTGAATTCTGTAAATTTTGCCCTACTTTTAAATATGTTTGACCTTGATTAATATTAATGTCTTTTTTGGCTTTTTTCTAAAATTACGCTCAAACTGACTTAACATATAATAACCAACTCAAGTGAAACAGTTTAACACATTTTTTTTTTAGTTCTAGATACCGTCATTATCACAGTTTAAGCCTGTATATATTCTTACTTATACCGGTATCTTAATTATATGTACCGGTACTGGTTTCGACCCCTAGCGAGCACTCCACTTTCCCGACCCGCAAATATCCTTCTGCTTCTAATTTGGCCCCGGTCAATCAACTTCGGGAACAACTGGCCTAAACCTGATACCCTATCATTCCAAATACATTCTTAAAAATTTCTTCAAATATTCTTTGGGTTGTGCTTCTAACCATTTGTATTAACGCTAACCCTTCGATCTAATTCACTGTTTCTATGAAGTTGCTTTTCAGTTTTGATGTTGTATTGTGATGTAACTATGGTTGTGTTGTGACATCACTATAGTGCAACGATTTTCATTTTTAGGATATTTTGATGTCATAATATGGTATTAGTATTCATCTTATGATGTAAGAATCACTCTTAACCACATCACTTTGTTTTATTGTGACATTATATATTGATTCATGACATCATAATTTGAAATCAAATGCTTGGTGAGGCGTGGAAATTCTTTTCATAACTTAACCATGTCTGTTTAAATGATTTACTTTGTTTCATTGTGACATCATATATTGACTTATGACATCATAATTTGGGGGTAGGTGCTCGGTGGAAGCGTGGGGAATTGTCAACATCCCAGACTGCGATTAACCAAACTGGTCGTATCGACCATTATAAAGATTTTCACACTGACTTGACACCACAAGGGGGAGGATTTGGTCCGGTGAGTCCAATATGACATTATCAAGCGTGTCATAATACACTGGCTGTGATTGGCTGTTTGTCTAATCATCACTCATGCATGGTTATTACTAACACCCTTGTTTGCGTAATTCTATCTTCCTAATTTTAGTTTTTTAATTCTACAGAACATGCGATTGCAACAATCATTGCCCTCAACGCATTTTTTAAACCTAATTTGCGATTTTTTTCACAATTTTTTCTGTTTCAGTCAGGGGGAGGTTAACGATCAATGGAGGGGGGGGGGTATTTGTGTGGAAACTTTTTGCGAGGGCATTCGACTTCTATATCTTTCCCTAAAAATCTTATGTGTTTGTTAAATCCTCGTATTGCTTATGCAAAAAGTTTTCACATAGAACACATGGTACTCTCGAAGGATGTGAACCAAGATGGAGGACACCGGAATGTAGTATGTGTACCAGGTCAGGGTTAAGCCATAATCTCAGGTACAAATACTAAGGGAGTCACTTAGCTAGTCCCCGAACTCGAAATAGAACTAAAATAGGAAAATTGGAATAAAATTTGGCTAATTAACCTGGTATACATACTACGTTCCGGTGTCCACCATCTTGGTTCACATACTTCGGGAGTACTGAACACATTACAGGTTGGTCCAAAAGTGGGCCTACTGTTATTGATACTGTGTTAACGGCCTACTATTTGGCAAATTTGTATAAATAACATATATAAAACAGTTGTATTCTACCTGGTTTACAAGGGATTATGCAATGCTATATTTTAGATGTTTGTTTTAATTTTAACAATCTTGTATATTTGTAGAAATGGTTTCTAATGGATTAGTACATGCTCGTCATTGCACTTTTGATTACCATGTGTGAGTACGAGGTTTGAATCCCATAGGGGTATAATTTTGCAAATTGCATATAGAGCCAGACTTGTGTAAGCCTATTCTGCTAGAAACCATTTTTACAACAATAATATTTTCATTGCTCTAATCATTTTCACCTTTTCTCTCTTTATTGAACTTTCTTCCTACTTCCTGATCTTATGACCCTTGAACCTGATATGACCCCTTATCATTCCAACATATAACGAAACATTAGGTGCTTGAAATAACGTACTTTATGGTTTGGGTAGTTTTGTCTAACATTGTATGACCTTCGACTATAAATTTGACCTCTATAAAATGACTTTCAACCCCAATTCTGACCTCTACTGTGTGAAATGACCTTCAACCTGAAAGTTGACCTCTATAAAATGATATTTAACCCCAAATTATAAAATCACCTTGAACCAAAAAATTAACCTCTAATTTACAAAATGACATTCAACCCCAAATTTGACCCCTAATTTGCGAAATGACCTTCACTCCTAAATTTGACCTCTACTTTACAAAATGACCTTCAACTTAAAATTTGACCTCTACAAAATAACCTTTGACCCTAAAGTTCCTTAAATCTGACCTTTCCACTCTTCTGCTACGACCCTGCTTCACCCCAACAGGTTCTTCGTGAGCCGTGGCGTCTTTCGACGTCTCAGACCCCCCACCAACAGGGAATGAAGATAAATCTTGTCGAACACCCCTCATTCTTGTCTGGGGGAGGAGGATTCGGTCCGGTAAGAATGCAATAGCGACATCTAATGGACGTATGGGTCTCACACGCTTGCAGGCTATGTTGTGCTGTTTCTTGCATTGAGTCTTAAATCTGTAACAGCAGAAACTCCATAACACACATCAGTGGCTTATTGCAATTACCCCTAAGAATTTTGCTGCAGGCTTTTACCACCAGTGACCAATGAAGCATGACTAGACAGAATGTTCTTATCTTAATATGCATGGAATATTTCTGCAATTATAAATCATCTTTCCTAGACGAGGAAAGCGCACGAAGCACAAACTTTTTTAAAAAATATAGGATGTCCATAAAGTTCCTAAATTATTTACAATTGCAGGAATTTATCGATACCATATGTATTGTTTTGGCCCTCACATATGTATGAAATGAAGTAAAAACCTAAACATTACTGATTAAAACAACAAACCTGGTTAAGATATACTGAGAATGACTTCATAACAAAATTGAAATTGTAAATGGATTTTATGCACACCTTGTATTTTATAATTATAGTCAAGCTTATAATGTCTCGGGCAGCTATGTCCTCCTCTCTTCAATACCTCAATTACCAAAATTTTTCAGTTAATTGTGTGTGTGGTGTGTGTTAACAAGTCAAAATTTGAATAACAAATCCTGATTTGATTGGTTGATACAATACGTGATTATATACAGGGTGACCAATGGGCTGATTAAATAAATCAAATAAAACTAAAACAGTGTTTCTCAAGCGATGGGGGTGCGCCCCACAAGGAAGGCGTAGACAATTATTTGAGGGGGCTTGAAGCTAATTGAAAATAATCTACGTGGATGAAACATAGATAATGAAATTAATGTATATATCCAAAATAAGGCATGCATTATCAAATCGAATTTTCTTTTTTAATTAGCTTGACGCCCCATCAAACAATTGTCTACGGCCCCCTTGCAGGTCGCGCCCCATTTGAGAACCACTACGCTAGGTCATGGCCAGTCTATTGAAGGATCTCAACATCGTTAATGTTTTCGGCCTGCGGTGATACTTTAGAACAGCGGTTTCTCAATGGTGGGGCGTGTAGACAGTTGTGACAGTAGTGTTTGTTTGATTTGATCTTGACTGCCTTATGTTGGTATTTACATTCACCAGTCTGGTGCAAACTTGACAAATTCTAAAAAGGACTTAAAAAGTTTGAGAACCACTGCTTTAGTTATAGTTCTTGAATCCAATTTCCGACTCCACGATTCTGTATTCTAGTCTTGTTTTTCACTTATAGTTGCTCAGCATGGCTTCAAAAATTGTGTGTTTCAAATTGTGATAATGTTAGTTGCTTCTAGAATTCAACCGCTCTTTAGAAGCCGTATTTAGTACTCAATATCTGTGAAATTTTAATTAAAGTTTTTTAATACATTCTCCATGTGAGCTTGCTCAATGTAGCAAAGACTTGTATGACTCTGAGCAAGTCTAGCTGCTAGCACTGAAATGCCAAAGCTTTTGAACAGCACAAATTACTGATGTGTGCTCACTCAGAAGTAAAGAAGACTCATGTCCGAATAATAGATAAGAATTATTTCGATTTTAACTCCTTATCATACTTGAGCATGCATGGTATGTGTTTGTTTGCATGTAGTGTGGAATCTTCTATGGCCAAGCTCATTAGCAATATAATATGATGCAACTTTATATTTTATTATTTTATCCCCCCAGTTGGCTGTGCAGTCGGAATTAATTTATACCCAATGCCAATCTTGAGCCTTCTAGAAAACGACCACCGATTTCAGATGAACAAAAATGTTTCTTCTTACTCTTGGTTAAAGGAAATCTCTAAACTACAATAAATTTTGTCTACAAAATCTTCTGTGCATCTTAATTCCTTCTTTAATAAACAGTGAAAATAGATCTATGCTTTCCCTCTGAGCAAGGCTGTAGAGAAAAAGTCACTGATTGTAAAGAGCTTCTTTCTGAAGGTTAAAAATCCATTTTGTCATTGTTCACTCACTTTATGTGAGCCTCGCTTAGAATATTGTTACTCATGCTCTCAACAAACATACTCAAAGCCGAAATTATTAAAATTTGGTTTTCTCGCACAGTTCAAAGTCATATTTCAAATGGCACAGACTTTGGGGTCACAATTGGGTCAAAATTTCCCGACTTCACAGCCTATGCACTGTGACCTGTTACTAAAAATTTCTCCACGTTTTTGTCAGGTCGCTGACGATGGCTACGGTGTCTCCTACATCATCTGCCACGAAAACACCATAATGTTTCACATCTCAAGCAAAGTCTCCTCTCATGAGACAGTAAGTATATCTTCTATATTAGTTTTTATATAACCTGCATTCGTAGCTACTGCTTCATATAGAGTGAGTATTTTAAAAAAAGATGATAACCCGTAAGACAGGAGTTGGCAACCCACAGCCATGAGGAAAAATCATGCGGGTTGTGGAGAAGTGTCAATTTTAAATGGTGTGCGGCCTCAAGCGACCTTTAATTCAAGTAATTTCAATATTTTGCGTTGCAAAGCTTATACTTGATCCAATCTATTATATATGCCTATGACAACACATGTCGTAACATCAACAACTAAATTTTTTATGACTGCAAACTACTAGAAAACCTATGTTCAATAAAGGTGCATTTACTTATCTTACTAGACCACCTAATCGTTAATTTATTATCATCGTGGCGCTCCAGGAGTGTGTGTACCATTATGGAGGGTAACTAATTTTGTTCGCCTATTTTACATCAAGTTGTGTAAAGAGACGGAACCCTATGGACAGGGGGGTATATTCACTTGGCCAACACAGACAGTCCCCGAACCGTAATAAAACTAAAATAAGAAAAATCGGAATAATATTATGGCCTAACCTTAACCTGGTGCACACATTACAGGAGTACCTCTCCTTTATCTGGTATTGACTACACTCATTTGAATTTATTTACATTCTTATGTTATCTCTTTATTTATTTATCTTATCAGAACTCATCTCGATTTGCTTGATAACATCGAAAAAGCAATGATGGATGTGAAGGACCTCTGCGAATATGCAAAGAAAAATAATTAGGAAAAAAACAAAAAAAATTAGGAATTATTATTAGGTTTTAATGCATTGTGTTTTATAAAAATAAGGGGGGAGCACTGGGGGTAAAAAAGTATGGGATTTCATTTTGATTTTACTTATACTTTTGTGTGAAAAAGCGTGTTTTATTTTTTCTGTGATATTTACTGATTGTGTTTTTATCTTAGTGTAAAACAGATTTGGAAACCAAAAAAAAAAAAAAATTCTGAGAGATGGGGGAATTTTTCAGATAAATTTGAATTTGAGTACAATTTCATATAAATCACGATTCAGCATAGTTGCATAAATATTTTGACAATTTTGAACAAACCGGCAGTGACTAGGTATCACTGTAGGCTCTGACCTTTTTTTCTGACCCCTTACCCTGCCCCCTCCCCCCCCCTTTAATTTTCGTCGTCTCACTCAGGTGAGAGCTGTATACAGCATATATACTAAGACATGTTTTTCTATAACAAGAATTTGGGTGCATTTGCCTGTGGTGAGGTCACAACACAGGACCCAGAGAAGTTATGACATTTTTTCTCACACCCCCTGTCCCCCCACCATTTCAATGTCCCAGCAAGGAAGGAAAACCCCTCTAGTGGGTGCTATTTGTTGGGGTCCCGTTTTTTCCTCCCCCTCCCCTCTTTTCCAAGATAAACTCCTATGTTGTGCTCCTCGCTTTTTCATTTTCTGTATATTCAACATATCAACCACTTTGTATTTGCTTTTCGGGAATACCACATAGTCACAAATATTTTTGATAATACCCCCCCCCCTCCCCCCCAAAAAAAAAATAATAAATTTGTGTTATATTCCTATTTACATTAACAAGAATACAGCATAGATGTAAAATAGAATAAAAAAAATTCTTAGTTCATTGTTTTGACCCTCACAGACGTATTAAATGAAGGTAAAAACACACTTTAACAATTACTAATTAAAAAAGATAATATAATAAGATAATATTGATAACTGATTTCATAACAAAATTGAAATTGTGAACTGACTTTATGGACACCCTGTATTTATAAAGCATTTTAGATTTGACAATGTATGATTATATATTGGGCTATGGCATATCCTATAGGGTTAGAAATAGCTCGTGGATGGGGTTTCTCATATAATTATTATGAAAGACACCGACACAATTCCTTATGACAATCTACTCATTTAAATGTGGTGTTCCCTCTATATATATTATATTTATGATCTTCTTTGATAGACTGTTAGAAATTGAATATTTTTTGATGTTTTAATTATGATTCCAGGACTGAACTTTGGAAACCTAATTAGATAATGAGAACTGTAGCGTATATACAGGGACATAGCCAGCAGGGGGTTTTGAGGCTTGCTCCTTCCTTTTTTTAAATGAAAAAAGGCATATAACTGATTTAAACATTGCATTTTTTCTTAAAACAAAATGCTTTTTGAACTCTTGAAAACCCATCTGCCTCGTCACCCTGTTGAAATGTAAAAAAAGCAATTTTTTGTAGCATAAAACACTTTATGGGACTCTTGAAGACCTACACGACCACCGGACAGACCTAGCAATTACGGTCCAACTTGGCAATAACAAATATCAAGATCTTCACTTTTATCTTCACTTCTGTTTATACACGCTTCAATTGTCTGTAAAGAAAACTTCTTTGGCTTAATTTTTGAGTTTTTGTCTAAATTATGATTATTACCATTAGAAGTCCGAAACTATAATTAATGAGAGAAATCCAAATTTTGAACACAAAAAACTAAGACTCTGTGTCCCATCTCTACAACTCCGATTTTGTGTTGAATTTTTGGTGAAACAATATTTTTGTATGAGTTATGTGTGATTATTCAAGTATTTATTCGAGTGTATTTTTTTCGCAGGGTGGTGTATTTTGTTTATTATCATGTTTTTAGGAACGTAAGATTTACATTATCAAAATGTGTTCAAGTTTGCTATTTATATACAAGCCCAGGCGCTCCGGAAGTAATCACACCTAGATGACGCACAACCTGAACAACCTTAACCTGGTACACATACTATGTTCAGGTTGTGCGCCATCTTGGTACGAATACTTCGGGAGCACCCAAGCCCGAATTAATTAAGTGTGTAATGCCAGCTTTTTTCTGTACTGGATGTAAATCACAGCGTTCTTGGCTGATTTTTAATTCTTGATGTCCGAAAGTATTTTTTACTCTGAATATTCCAATGGATAGTGAAAATAATGCCATAGATTAGGGTGCTCCCGAAGTATGTGCGCTAAGATGTATAGGTACCAGGTTAGAGTTCAGGTTGTGCGCCATCTTTGAGCAAATATTTCCGGAGCGCTTAGATTTGAATTTTCGACTCCGGATTCTACTCTAGTAGTCTCTAGTTTTTAGTCCGATGGTTCCCAACCTTCAACAGCTTCCTTCCTGAGGCTTTAAGGACTCATTGGCCCCCTGTTTATCATTCCAGTAGTATTTATAGTTTTAAATATCCCCGGTTGGGAACCGCTGCTTTAGTCTTTGAATACAGCTTTCCAATATCAATAAGAGCAATTCAAACTAAACTCTGCCGGACTCAAATATTGTTAATAAAAGCATGTCAAACTCTAGGGATGCCTTAACGCAGGGGTGTGCAACCTGCGGCCCACAAGAAAAAAATTGTGTGGTCCGCGGATTAGTGACAATTTTAAAAGGTGTACGGCCTGTAAAACGAGTTTTTATTAGTTCAATCTGGTTTGTGCTAGTAATTCCAATCTCTTTGCATTGCAAAGCATATACCTCGGTCCAATTTATTATATACGCCTATGACGTTACAATGCCCTAACCACTTGTGTGAAGCAAACTACACATGTCATAAGATCAATAACCAATATTGTTTTGCCTGCGACTACTAAAATCTTATGTTAAAAAGGTGCGTCCCGCGATTTCACCAAGTTATTTGTATCTGGCCCTCTTGTTTTAAAGGTTGCCCACCCCTGGATTAAACTATTCGATCTCAAAAAGCTCTCCCGCTTATGGTCACTGAAGCATGACTGGGCAGAATAATCACATCCTGACAAGCAGGGTAGAATTCTGTAATTTAAATGCATTTAGATATAGACTTTTATACTGCTGAATTCAAATCCGCCGTTCTCTCTATAAAACTTTTAGCTGTTTTTGTGTTTTAAAATTTTTGAAAGTAAGTTGGACAAATATGAACAATATTTTGCAGGATTGTGTTTTTTCTTTGAAATGGAAGGGGTGAAGACATTTTGAACAATAAAGAATGATAAAAAAAAATTGTAATGCCCTGATACTCGGAGTGTCGGTCGGGCTTGACAATGTTGACATTGCAAGTTTGAAATATTGAGTTTGAATTCAGGGGGCAATGGGGTACATATGTCCCCGGGCGCCAAGGTACAGGGGCGCCAAAATGGGGCTAGCAAAAATTTCACAAAAGGTAAAAAAACAGTCACAAGCAAGATCGCACTGGCGGCAGACATCTAGCCTTAGTACATGACAAACTGTACACTTGGTCAGACCACTTACGTCGACTGCCGACGTCATCAGTCACATAGCTCGCGCACGGTCAGATTCCCATCGTAATTACATGGCCAATAAATCTGGCCGGGAAACAAAGCAAAAATTGATTTGGTAACGTTAGGTAACAAAATACACGGGGTTAATTACGTGGTTCTGTATCGTTAAGTTCTTGCCTGCGCACTCCGATGTAAGTTGATATTAGTTCTGTGCTGGAGACAAATGACAACGGAATTTGGTTGAATGATGTTAATACATGTTTTGGGTAATACGTGGTTGTATTTCGTGGTTTTCAGAGTACCGTACTTTGCGGCAGAGTTACATAAAATATAATATACTGTGCTAGAAGACCCCAATGCCGTTTTTGACAATTTGACGAGATTGCACATATTTTGCAAATTTCTACGACACGGACATCAATGGCCATGAACTTTTCACCGAAATTGAAGATTGCAGAATGCTGCTCAGTAACAGAACTGAAGGTCAACCAGAAACTCCTTTGGCTATTCTTGGTTTTATTGTGTCTTTTGGAGACGACGTTTTACCCAATCTGCGAATTTCTCTACAAATTTTGTCAACAATACCAGTTTCAATTGCAAGCTGTGAACGGTCTTTCGGCAAATTGAAACTTATTTTGTCGTATTCGCGTGCATCAATGGGACAAGATCGTCTCAATGATCTTGCACTTCTAAGTGTTGAAAGAGAAACATTAGAAAAAAACAGATTTTGATGACGTGTTAACCAGTTTGCGACAGTGAAATAAAATAAAAAAATCATTATAGACTATGTAAACAGGTCTCAAACTCAATTTACTTGGGGGCCGCTGGGGCAGAGTCTGGATGAGTCCGGGCCGCATCAGGTTTTTCATAATAAAAGCTTAGCAACTCGTTTAAATTGTATTCCTTGTGCACTGCAACTTTAACTGTGCAGATAAAACACGTCTGTATGCTCCTATGCTCAACAAAGAAATATTGCATTTCCCAGTTTTTTGAAATTGTCTGTGCTCATCACCAACCTTTCTGTTTACTGAAACTTCACTTCCAACGACACGTTTAGGGATGTGCGAAATTATTAAATTCCATCTTGTAATAACTGTTGCGCTGATGTTTCAAATGCCACTACCCTAACTTAGTTAGTCCAATTTAGGCCGACGGTGACGCAATTTTAAACGGTCAGTTGGGCAAAACCTTCGTGATTCTCAGATCGCCATGGCGACCAATTTAGATGTATTTTTGATTCCCTTTCCACGCAACACTCGGGAGATGCTCGCGGAACATTAGTGTTCCGCGGAACACAGTATGGGAAACGCTGTTATATTAAAAGCATTAATCGTGCTAAATGAGCTAGATGACTTGCGGGCCGCACTAACATTAAACTTTAATACCAAGGCGGGGGCCACAAACTATCATCCCGCAAGCCGCAATTGGCCCGCGGGCCGCGAGTTTGCGACTCCCGATGTAAATCATCTTAGACAGTAACTGAGTGGGACATTATGGACATATGCTATATTTTTTATAGCTTTGCGTCTTCTTTAAATAAAATGTTCCATTAAAATTTGAATACACATATTGTAACCAAAATTTCTGTTGGCTATCTTCTTCGTTAGTTGATGTTGACTAGTTAACTACTTTGATATATATTGTGCTCCTACTATCTAGACTCCGATATAGAACAATTATATTAATCAGAAGTTATACGTGCTCAATTGGGAGCTCTTGTTAATTTTATATAACAGATCAACTCAATATACATCCTTTAGTATAATTTTATTGCTCCGGGTTAAACAAATTACGATCGTTCATAACAAGAAATTATAAAACACGACTTAAATCATGAAATATAAATTGTACCTTAAATAGCATTGTCCATAAGATAACAGCAGAATTAACTAGAACAGCTAACCTTTCTCCCAACACTCTATTTTCTTTGTCCTGATCAGTCTATTTTAAATGGAATTGGGGGTTTTTCAATTTAGTGGATAATTGTCTATCTTTATTTATTACTTTTTCGGGAAGAAGGTTTTTCCTTGATCAATCAAATTCTAATTTGTCTCGTTTTGATAGGAGGAATTTAGGATGTGCACGATAATTTATTATTTCATGGGCACTATTATTTAGGTCGAAAGACTTGTAAAGTATATGAAATGACCTAGTTTAAGTTTAAAAATAGCGATGATTTTATTGTCCCGTGAGTATGAATCTTTTTATGCTCGTGGAAATTTACAGGTGCTAAGTCGAAAGTCAAGTTTTTAAGATTAATTGGGGTAATATTCGATGATTTAAAGTGACAAATTGCAAATTTGTTACAATATATATACATATTTTTTTGAATAAATAATAAAATATATCAATACATATAAATTTGATTTTACATATATAATTTGTTTTTACATATACAATTAAATGTAATAGAAAATATGATTAAACGTGGAAGTCGGGGCGCCAATTTTATAGTTTGCCCCGGGCGCAAAATATGCTGGCAACGCCTCTGTCACACATTGAAATTTTTCATAGCTTAGAACGCTTTTTAGACCCTGAGCCGGTTCTGCTAGCTGTTACGGTCTAACTTGAAAATTACAAAGTTCAGAATCCCCCTTCGAAAATTCCTGGCTACACTCCTGTCTCTGATCACCAATGCCGACCTAACATGTCTTCTTATAGCAATGGTAGCTTTTTGTTTATCAGAAGAGCTTTCGAATCCGTTCAGACGTATGACTCTTTTCTTCCAAGAGAGTTATTTGATGAAAACACGTTTCTTACTGTATGTGAAATCTTAGCTACCTATTTGACAAGTTAGTGGACATAACGATCGTTTTAATATTATGTTGTTGTTCTGTTATTCGTCATCATCAAAAAAATCGCTTTTTTTTTATGAATACTGGGACCAATTTGCTTTGAAATTCTATAGTGGTTGAAGACCTATTACTTTATTTATTTCTAAATTTCGTATGAAATCTAATATATCATCCAAAATTTCGCTGTATTATTTCATCAATGGGAACACTGGCTGTCCGGTTTGATTCTGAAAATCCTTGCTACGCAAAACTCGGAAATTTTTTGAGGGTACCGGTAGCGTCAAAGTTATGGTTAACGTGTCCATATATTTGAGCATTGCTCTCTTGTCCTAATAATCATGACTGACTTGGGCGAATATTAGAAAAGTTCACACTAGGTGACAGTATAGAACAACAAAATTCATCAACGTGGTCTTTGAATGATTGACATCTGAAGATTAAGACATTTAATTTCA